AGGATTCTTATTTTCTTATAATGGGTTGTTGACGAGGGTGTCGAGTATCATGAGTGATGTGTTATCATATCGAGTTAGCATCACTTTTGAATGAACGGTTGGTTACTAAAGGCTCGTTGTTTCTAGGGGATTGGAGTTTGTTCAGTTATTCGGGAAGGAAGTGATGATTGACTACATCGTTGATGGTTTTGAGGCGACAATTGGGTGTTGAGCATTCTGAGATTTGTACTCATTTTTGTTTGTGAATCTGTCTATAGGGCATTGATGTATAGAGATTCTTTTTTGGTGGAAAGTAGTGATCATTATAGGGAGTATCGAGAGTGGCGTTTATTTTCGCTTTTTGATGGTGTTGTCTTAAGGATGTTTGAGGAAGAATTGTTTAGTAGTGACTTGATGGTCTGGTGGGATGATAGGTTTGAACTATTGTTTAGTGCTGTTAAGCGGAACAATTTAAGGTATGATCCGAATGTGGTTTGGGGATCTTGAGTTGTTTGTTGTGTGTTGTCAGGTGAGTGATAGGAGTGTGCGCCAGTTGAGGCGATTGTAGTTGGCTTAGTTTTTAGAACCAGTGAAGGCGATGTTGCCAGATAGGCACCTTTTTCTTTTAACGAGTAGCGGGTTGTTGTGACAGAGGTCGCGGGTCTTGTGTGCGCGGAGATCGATGTAGTGTCGCCTGGGAAGGTAGAGATGAAATGGGTAATCATGTGTCGTTGTATTTCATAAAGTTTCTTATTGGGAGATTATTGGGTAGGACGGGATGCAGTGTCCAACGTACAATGATGATTCCTAGTGTTAGTAGGTTGAGGGTGTTGGTGCTTTTATCTAATTGGTTTCGGTTAGCATAATGTTGCGGAGAAGTGTGTACGAGATTTCTGTGTTGATTGTGTAGGATGGTCCGTTAGTGGCGAGGTAGCTTAGATTGGTGTTCGTGGTCCCGTATGTGTTTCCAAGTTAATTATTTTCCTTGTGTATAAGGAGTTTAATTCATCCCAGGTGAGATTGGGTGTCAATGGTTGGACGAACGATGAGTAGCGTGTGACAAGTTGTTGGGTGCATTTAAGTGCAAATCATCAGACTCTTGTAAGAGTGGGGTTCGTTACCCTTTCTGTTGTTCTAGTCTTGACAAGGACGTCGTTTGTTGTGAGTCTTGTTCTCCATTTAAGAGTTGTGCGCATCTGTGGGTGGACAGACCTATGAGTGGTTTGTTATGCTGTTACGGTTTATCGGTAGAGGTTCTGATTGAATGAGTCGAGTCACTCCCTCGGAGAGAGGTGGAGTCTTTGGTTTCTGTAGAGCTCTTTTTGAGTATGGCTTTGACCGGTGGTATATGAGGCACCAGTTGTCGAATGGGGATTGTATGTTTTCAGTGTCTAGTACGAGTGGTGGTGGCAAGGAATTGTCATGAATGAAAGATTGAAGATGATCAGGTGACGTGATGCGACTCATGTATTTGGATGTTTTTATAAGTGATTGCTTTTAACAGTGTTTTGAGGATAGGTGTTGGTATTGTCGAATGTTATGCAGCTAGAGAATGATTATGGGTTCATTGAGGAATAATGAGAATGATGGACTTTGATTTTGAGGTTTCAGACATGAGATGGCCGTGTTGTGTGTTTTGACGAGGTAAGAATTGAATCAAGTAATGTTATGAGTTATTTACCTAGTATGGGTGTTACGAGGAAATTAGGGATCTTTTGTGCTAGTTGATGACTCTAACATTTAGTGCCGTGTTGTTTTTAGCCTGTTACGAGTTTCATGATTGAGGAATTATTGAGATTCTTAGAGCTAGTATGTGACTGTGTAGTTACTGAGGTTATGTGGAATGATGGATGGATAGTGAATGGATTTCATGATTGTTTTATGGACTGTGTGAGACTATGTTTGAGGTTTAGACCTGAGGACATGAACGACGTCTGTATTGAGACCGGATCAAAGATGAGAATGGCCTGGCCAACCATTACTCATGAATCAATCCTTCTTTAGCGCGACGTCGGGTCAAGGGTTGATGATGTTTTGAGTTATCATGAATAGTGAGAGTATGATGCTGGGCGTTGTGTCAATGGGGTGGAGTGACTTCAGGGAGTTATTTCGGGTGACGAGGTGTGTTAGGTGGGACCGAATGTCCAATTCGTTTGATTATTAAAGGTCGTGTTTTGAGGATTTGTGTCCTGGGTATAGCATGGTGCGTTTTACTAATTTGGTGACTGTAACGGCTCGAACTCGTGGGTTCGGACCGTTAACTGGGTCCTTGCCCTAACCCGAGGTCCGCTAGGTCTTACCATCCATTTCCTATGTTCAAACCTATCATAAGACTCACTCCGGGGCTTAGAATATTCAAGGATACAAGCTTACAATCCTGGTCAACATTACAGGTCAAAAAGGAACAGTTAGCTGACTGATAGCCCTTGGTCAGCCGGCTGACAAGGCAGGATCGGCCGGCTGACCTACATGGTTGGTCAGCCGAAACGAGGATGAAGTTTGCAAGCTCTCGGGACTTTCACTTTACAAGAAATCGGGCGGCTGAAGAATGAGGTTCGGTCGGCCGAACATGGGGTTTCGGTCGGCTGATGGAGAGGATCAACCGGCTGAAACATGGCTCCTGGGTCCTGAAGCTCACTGGAATGGCTCTTGACTGTATTTATTACCCCTTGAACTCACACCGGACCTGTCTTGCAACCACTTTCCGAATTCATGGCATCAATATGAGTTAGAAAGTAATTAAATGGCATCTACGATTTATCTAAGCATAGTCTCCTTTCCTATTCATTACAATATGCTTTCAAAGTTTCCAATATACAATGAGAGTTCTCAAAAATTATAGTTACATTCCAAAATGAATACATTCGTAATTTACAGTCTTACAAAAAGATAGGCTAAACTCAAAAACAAAATATTTTTCTAGTCCTCTTCATGCTAGAAAGGAATCAGCGTCCATTATTTCTTTTCCCGCCCCTGAAAAATGTTAAATAAAATGGGGTGAGCAAATAGCTCAGTAGGTGGTGCCTAAGACACACCTCTTATAGCCCCGTGAATCCAAACAAAGAATCGGACAATAGGGAAATGGGTCATGCTAAACCGGGGAAAACTACAATATTAACTTCAAATTCAAAAGAAGCAAACGTCATCCCATGAATGCAATGCCATGTATGTCATTTCCCATTGTCAAAAATCCAAATTCATCACTTCTCAAACTGTTAATATAACCCGTCCTTGGTGACTCCGCAGTGACACGAGAGAATGATTGGCTACTGTCCCTGACCCTTAATACCCCCGCGGCGTCATTTTGGGCCCAGATATCTCAACCACGCTAGGGCAATCTCCCTCGTTCCCTCTAGACTATATTAACACACTGGCCCTTTGGTGACCTCGCGGCGACCGGTTTTTTCTCAAAATCATTTCATCAAGTTCTCCCCAAAAATCCCCTTTTCATCTTTCTCAAATCATTTCACCCTTTTTCATGCCCAATGCTTGAATGCATAATACATGCCCTTTTTATACTATGAAAATGGAGAGTATTATTATCACACAATTAACATAGTTCCACATAAAATTTCTAACAAATTATTAAGCATCATAGGTATGGAAAATTAATACATCAAGCTTGATCTTCAAGTAAATCAACAATTACACATATATATAGGCATAGATTTTCTAATTTCAACAATTGTATCACTTTCAAGGTAATCAATTTAAATAAGGTATGCTTTTCATACAATTTAACAAATACACACATATTTGCATGTTTCACATACACAATTAAGTCATTTAAGAGACAACCAATTCAAATTGATCATGTTTGACAACAATTAGAGTAGAAAAACTCACAAAGGAATAAGAAAATTGGGTATTAGAGACCCCTATCTCAAAATTGGGTATTGAGAGAGAGATCTAAGTTTGAAGATTGAACTCTAAAGAAAAAGAAAAATTCTAGAAAGGGAGGAGAGAGAGGGGACTAGCGGAAGAGAGAGAGAGGGAGAGAGGAGATGGAAAAATAGGCTAAAATGTCTCTTTATCTAATTTAAAGCATTCATGTGGGCCCACTAATTTCTTTTATTTTTCTTTTTTCTTTTGTTTCTAATTTACACCACATAAAGTATATACACATGTAATAATTTACATCCACATAAAATACATCAATAAAATCTTACAACTTTGATAGATTTAGCTTGCTGCTGAATTCAAGTAATCTAGTTGTTTGCACCCACAATTCATAGCAAGAAGGGGACCAGTTAGAAAACAAATCTCTCCATATCTCGAAAAGCTTTGGCCAAAATTTTCAGCGTCGACTTTCTGTAACTCACGCACCTTACTCTTTTCTAGACTTTTTAAAGAAATTGTATATGTTTATTTCCTTATAATATGTGTAGCTATAAAGACAAATTAAAACATTCATAATACCTATTTTGCCCGTTATTCATAAAGGACAAAATAGTGGGAAATTCAGTAAAATAGTTTCCTTTTGCCTCTCTCACTGAACATGATTAAGTGTTAATACTATCCTCTTTCCTTTCATTTTTCCCTCATTACTTAACAAAATACGATAAGAGATTAATACCATCCTCTACTTTCTTCCTTTTTGTCTCATAACTAATGCTATTATTTCTCTTCTTTTCCCTCCTACTATACCAAACACAGTCTAAAGGTTCAAATGAGACTTGAGGATAATAAAGGGTAAAATTTATTAAATGTCAGTGTCTTTCAAGATGAGGTTACCTGTTTTAAATTCTAAATTGGAATATCCTGAGCTTAACTGTTCTTTGTTACATGTAAGGTGTAGGTTAATTTAAGTGTGAAAGGTCTCCTGCTTTTGTATTTTTGTAATACAGGAGAGCTTTCTGTTCAGGAAAATGTCCAGGAGGTACAGCCAACTTCAACAAGAAGGATCTGCGATTTTTCTTCCCACGGTAGACATAATTATATGAAAAAGTAAGAGCATCCTGTAGTGTGCACATGGTAATAATTATAAAAATCAAATTTTAACGCAAATTACTTTTAGCAACAAAATTATTTAACGAGCATGACTATCATAAATATACCTCTACTTCTGATGTTGTATAGGAAGGATCAAGGTTTTCTAGTAATACAAGGGTGCCTTTCTCAGAAGCTCTCTGCATCTTGTCCTCCCAAGACTGGAGAAGAAACAAAAATAAGAAAAATTAACAGGTATTGAACAGTCTATTGATATGGAATTAGATAAAACAATTATTCTCTTACATTTGGACATCAGATAGTAGTAAAATTCCAATTCTAAATCTAAACATTACTGAACCAAGAAGTAAAATACCAGGGCGAACTAACTTGACAAATCACACCCTGAGAAAATATTAGTGAATGCAATTGTCATTTAAAATCACAGAATAAGATGATAACTCACTTGTGGCTTGAACCATTTGCTCATATCCTGTAAACACGATGAGAATATATCAGAATAGTAATCAAAGTTGAGATCAGAACTTGCAAGTCAATAACAGCTTGTGGAAATTTGGAGTGTTTGTGTCAACAAGCCTTCTTGAGGTTTTCATGTTATTATGCAGGAGACATAAAACTTAAGACATTTCTGAAAAGGGTTTCAGGCTGAGCCATCAACAGAACAACAAAATGCGCCATTAGTTTCAGCAAAAAGTTTCTTAAGATCCAAGGAATCATTGTCCCCAGATTAAGAAATGGAAGAAGTTGTGGATCAATAAATTAGCTATTCACTGAGAATACAAATTTTGAATACCTGTATATGCCTAAATTACCAAGGCGGGTCTTAAAACATTGTATTATGTACTTTCTAGTTGCTGATATAATATTTTCTTCAAAAATATGTAGTTGAAACAAAATTCCCACCAATAATATTCAGAGACCTTACCATATCAGGCCTTCTTGTAACCTCCCCAATTTGGGTCTTAGTTTTGACACCCTTTTCCAGTTTAAGTTGAGAAGCTGCTTCATCAGAAAAGTAACTTGCCTTCTCCGGATAATTTCCCTTGGTTAGTTCTCTGTTCTCACTAACAGCAGCCTTGGAATCTAGAAATTTTGCTCAATAATTAAGTGATCTTGGAGAGGGTCAGATAACTTTGCAGGTTTTTTTTTCCTTTTTTTTTTAAACAACTGTTAATGCCCAGACACAATTTTGGTAATAATTTTTTTTTTTTTTTTTTTTGGGGGGGGGGTTAGAAGAATGGGTAAAAGTTCTGACAAAGATTGACCTGAAAACCATTCAAGCTTCCTTTTCTTCAGTGGCCGAATATCTGATACACTTCTGTTTGAGAGATCCTCGGAAAATTTCACTTTACCTCTATCTTTTTCTTGACTGAAAGAAACTTCCCCTCTCCCATCCTTATTTATTGAGGGTTTAGGCTTCCGTTCAGTATTCTCACCAGAAAAACATGTTTGTTTACCGGAAGTAGTAGCTAAGATCTTTGATTCTGTGGATTCCAGCAACATGCTAATTTCACTTAGTAGTTGAACTTTAAGTAAAGAACTGCAAAATCACCTTTCTACTAGACCACCTTTTGCTACTGAATTCATGCTAATGCTATACTTGCTATGTACCTGTGACTAATTCAATCTTTGGAACTGAAGTTTCAGGCTTCTCCTTCAATTTTGTTTTGAGTCCAGGACGAGTGACAAGCTTTTGACTTTTCTCCGAATTGAAGAAACGCTCCACTGCAAAGCAAATATTTTTGAAAAGCACAACCAATATATCAATTGGTCAGCTGAGTATGAGAAAAATAAAGGTCATTGCCTAGTGACTCCCACTGACATTATGAGAAATATAGCAGTTAAAAGAATAACTTCAGAAAGGAAGGAAATATTTGTATGTGTATATATTCATCCTGAAGTAAGAAAACATAGGTATGCACCCCCGCACACGAAACTATATTCACCATCGCATTTTTTAAAAAAAATTATGGAACACTTATTACTATCAGCTTCTCGAGCATTATAAAAGATATGCACCTCAAATTTTTCCTCAGGACCATTCCTTTCATTTGTACTGTATGACATTTATTATAAGGAAATAATATATATATATATATATATATATAAATAAATCGATAGAACAGTGCTCATAAAACAGTGTGATTTGGCTGCGGAGATGATGTCACCCATTGCTAGTTGATGATTGCTACTGACTATTTGTCACATATTGCTAGTTTATCTTCACAGGAATTCAATATCTCTCTGTGGAAAAGAATAGTCTTTTTCAAACTTACATATACTTTTAAGTCCTTCACGTGAAAAATACTGAAATTGCTGCATAATTGAACTTTCAAGGAAGTATGGAGATTATCAAGGGAGTTGTTGCAAATATTTAACACACCAAAATTTTAGCGTAAATTACCAGAAATGTGGCCAGATTGCTCCAGTGATGGTTTGTACTAATTAATATATATATATTGCCAGAAAATGGTTTGGACAGGTTGTTGGGTTCTTTAAAACTTACAGGCAAGTTCCTATCGAATGACTGTAACTCAACTTATCAAAGAAAAACACATTATCAATTAAGGACAGACTTGCCCTAACTTCTCGACATGACATCTAAACAGTCTGTCAATCATTATTTTCTATATATATATATATATATATATTATTTATTTTTGGAAATCAATAACTCAAAAGATAATGTGACATGCGCTGCTTCATAAAATCCAATTGTTCTCAATGAAATTTTGTATTATCTGACACTAATATTTTAAACAAAAATAAATTAAGAGTTAATTACTTATACCAATCTGAATGAAAGTTCAAACTACGTCTTATCTACTAAAAAACCTTTATAAATTTTTGGGTGTAAAGTGAACTAAACTAAGATTTTTTGCTGAGAAAATATTGAGAGTTTTAAAAGAGAGAAATCTGCAGAAATATTATTGAGAGTTTCTTTGTTTCTTTTGATCTTATAGCCACACTTTTACACATGAATAGTAGCTCTGTGTATTCTCTACTTATCATACATTAGGAGCACTAATTATGAAGTCATCAAGGCTATAATCTTTGCACGTGCTAATGAAAGGAAATAGGAGTCTAATTACTGTGAAAAGCGGTTAATTTGTGAGGTTATTGCGTTGGCGTAGATTAGTGTTAATTGTAGTTCCATAGGCACTATAACTGGAGGACATTGAGCATAAGAGGTAAACCAACAGCAGGACATTCATATGCACTGGAATCAGCAACTCATGGAGAGCAATTTTGAAGACAACAAAAGTTGTTATTCTCTTTCTCGACATAATGGATTGTTTGCCTAAGACAGCATAGTCTTCGTGGTTTTTTCCACCACGGATTTTCACAAAAAAAAAAAAAAAAAAAAAAAAAAAAAAGAACAAGCAAACTGGGCAAATTAGCTCTATCCACCCTCTAGGTCCTAAGTGACACAATATCAAACCACTTCTGCCTCGCTCAATTCTCACTGTTCTTGTTTGATATTTCCAACATTTTCAGTACAAAGTCATGCTAAAGTTTTGATCAACATTCACAATGTGTGTGTGTGTGTATATTCACTTAATGCATTTGAATATCAATACCCGATGCTCCTATACGTTTAGGAAATGCAATCAATTGACGAGAAGTTCAGTTCATTTGGGTCTTGAGTCTAAACATCAAGTGCACTATTAAAGAGGAGAATTTTGAACATTAGAGGACTGCTCCAATTGGTTACAATGATGTGAAGAATGTAATATTTGAAATTATTATGATAATTGGGTTCAGATTTCTCAACTGCCAGCAAAAGCGAAGCAGAAAAATTATTCAAAAAGAATAAAAGATGAAACTGAATAGGTGACCTTTAATTCGAGCTACTCTATCTGGAAAGGTTTCTGAGATTCTGCAGCTTCCAACATCAAAAGTACGATAAAAGATATATCTGGCCAATCTCAATTCTTCTTCGGATGCTTGAGGATTTCTCGTCCTTTGATGTGCAGATAACATTGCATTTTCCATAAATTGCTTCCTAAAAAAGATACAACATAAAAAAGCCATGTCAATCATTTTAACCAGCATAGTTATTTTTCAAACTGTAGAAGTTATTTCTTGAATCCACAAAAATTTCATTCTCAAGATACTTCCTAAAATATAAAGGGTAAATTACACTCGCTTCCCCTCTAGTTAGCAAAAAGCTCACACAGCTCCCCTTGATTTTGACAAATATCATTTCCAATCATGTGAGTTGGGATTTTTTGGTGTACGTTTTGGGTTGGATGGGGTCGGGCAAAAAATGGAGAAGATGGATTCTTTACTGCATCTCTATGGTTAGATATTCGATTTTGGTGAATGGTTCTCTGGCCTGGTTCTTCTCTAGTTTGCAAGTCCAAAGGCAGAGATATCATTTTCTCCTTCTTTTATTTTTATTTTTTATTATTGTCGGCCTAGAGTAGGTTGATGAGGAGGGCGTGGATCATTGGAGACAACCCACCTAGCGGACGATACCATTGTTTTTTGTGATGCGGTGGAGGATCAGTTGAGACTATTGAGATACGTGTTGGTTTGTTTCCAAGCCATCTCAGGTTTGAAGTTCAATATAGGGAAGAGTGAGATTGTGTAGATAGGGGAGGTTGATAGATTGATTCTCTTGTCGATATTCTTTGGTGTGCAGTAGGGTCCTTCCTGCTCTCTTACTTGGGTTTGCCGCTTGGGGATTCCTCGAGCATGGTTTCCATTTGTGACCCAGTTATGGAGCGGTTCGAGAGGAGACTTTCTAGTTGAAAAAAGTAGTATCTTTCGAAAGGGAACCAGACCACTCTCTTGAAGAGTCACTTTCGAGCCTTCCAACCTACTTCTGTCTCTATTACAAATGCCTATTACCGTTGCCAAGAAACTAGAGAAGATACAGAGCAATTTCCTATGGAATGGTATGGGAGATGAATTCAAGTTTTCACTTGGTGAGTTGGGGAAAGAGGTGTAATCCTATCCAGTGAGGGACAGATCCGAATTGTGGAAGACAATCATTTCGTGCAAGGTTAGAAAAGATAGTGAAGGGTGGACCTCTAATGAGGTGAGTTCTCCAGTTGAGGTGGGGGTTTAAAAGCTCATCCGAAAGGGATGGAATAAGTTCTCCAGGCATGTTCGTTTCAGGGTAAGGAGTGTGAGGTATGTTCGGTTTTAGGAGAAACATTGATGCAAATATAGCTCAATGCCTTGGTCGTAGACTATTATCAACTTGATAGCGGGAGGATGACATGGGCCGTGCAATTTGGGAGAGATTTTTATGATTGGAAAGTGGAGGAGGTCGCGGATTTCCTGACCTTGTTTTACAATCTGGAAGGGATTGGTTTAGATTAAATGATTTGGATGCCCTATTCAAAGGGGTTTTTGAGGTGTACACATTCTATTAGAGCCTTCTGGAAGTTCCAGAGCCTCCATTTCCTTGGAAGTCCATTGGGAGATTGAAATCTTTAAGCCCTTTAAAGGTGGCTTTTTTCACGTGGACAGCAGTGCTTGGGAGGATCTTGATGCTGGAGAGGGTGTATGGTGGGCTATGTTACATGGACTCTTCAGAAGTAGGTGAAGTACCTATGTCAGATATACACAGTACATGGACATGGTGGGATATATATCCGACACTTTTGGTTAGACAAACACCTATAAAGTATATCATATAATTTAATTTAATTATATTATTGTTTCAAATGAGTGAAATGCCTGTATTGGACACTATGCTATATAAAGACTTATTTTGGTCTAAAAAAGAATAAAATATTAAATAATATGAATGTCTAGCAGTGTCCCTGCATCTTTTTGTTTTCAAATTTGACCTGTCCGACGCTTGGATACCCGTACCTGCACAGGACACACGTACCAGTGTCCATGTAACATAGATGGTGGATAGCCGAGCCCGAGATACTTGGAGTGACACACGGGACCGTCCGGCCCGAAAAACTGAAAAATGTGAAAATCGTCACCCCTGTATTTAAGAAAGTCCTGAACTCAATGAAACGCCCCAAACAATTCTAGGACACAACCGGCACACCCCACGGTGTCCTGCACTTAAAACGAGGAAAAGACAAAAATGCCTTTGGAACGACAAAATTCCAGATAAAGGGAAAATGGAGAAAATCGAAAACATCACAGTGACTAATGTTTATGTAGTCATTGGGGGACTCATTGTTTAATCATCTTGAAGTTGTTAAGTACAATGATTATCATATAGTGTGATTTGTAGTTGTTGGTACGGTTATGTGGTGGTGTAGCTACGTATTAGATAGCAAGTGTTTGGTCTGCCAAGGATGTGTAGATTAGAGTTGAGATTGATCGAGAGATAGACAGGATTTCTTATTTGAGGTTTGGTGTGTCATTTGAAGGATGTGTTAAGGTTAGATATTGTCTTTTTTGGTGGTCTGATAACTGTCCTTTTCTCGGGTTTTGGAGCCTTTTGTGACTGTGTAGAATAGACTGATGTCCGTTTTGAGCCAGGCGTAAGGTCTAGTTGGTCTTGTGTTATGATGAAGGGAGAGATGGGCAACCGCATTGGGTTTTGGTGGCAGTGATGTGTGATTGCCTGGTGACATCCGGTATCAAAGGCAATAATGTCGGTGGGTTCATAGTCTCAATGTTTTGTGAGGTGTTCTTGGAGGAGAGTGTGTGGCTGTGGGCCTTCTTCATAAGGAGGGTAAATTTTGAGGACGAAATCTCTTTAAGGATGATAGATTGTGATGTTTCTAAATTTTCTTCTTTTATTGTTTTTCGTACCGGACATTGTGGAGTGTGCCGGTTGTGTCTGAGAGCTGTTTGGGGTATTTCATTGAGTTTATGACTTTTTGAAATATAAGGGTGGTCATTTTCGCATTTTTTCATTTTTCGGGCCGGACGGTCCCATGTGGAACCCGTTACCGGAATTGTCATGCACGGGGATTTTAATTGGATCCACTTGCATTATATTTATTTTATT